ATATACAGTATATTCAACGCGAGCGACTTCAACGACAAAATGTAAAAAATAATTAGCAATGACAATCAACATTTTTACTACAATAAAAGCGGATACTGCGATTTACAATGCGACAAGAATGGTTGCTACTAAAAGAAAAACAAAAGTGAGAACTCCGAAAATAGCGACTGATCTAGCGATTTGTCGTTATTGGCAATCCAGTATTTCTTCTATCTGTACATTTTTTTTTATTTCCATTAGCGAAAAAGATTAAATAGGATATCGGAAAGACGTTACGAAAGAACAGTAATATTATTATATCTTTTTTTTTTTTTAGAAGTCTAACAATATTTTTAGAAGCTGAAAGAAATCTTTCTGAAAGAAAGCTTTCGTGAGAAAGAAATCGAGCGCTCGCAAAAGTCTATATTCTTGGCGATAGGAAGAACTACGAGAGAAGCGCTCTCGATTGGACTCTATTAATATCGACTAATACGTTCTTTGAATGCTCTAATTTTCCTCCTTGACTCGATAGGGCTCTTCTAAGGAGACAGTTAAGACGCGCCATACGGAGTCGCGTAACTCCGACATTCTGATCGTGACACATGTCCGTCGCAGAAAAGACACGCCGAGCCGCGCTGCCAAACGCGCCAGCCGTTGATTTTCCACAAAATGTCTGAGCGGCTGATTGACATGTTTATTCGTAATGTAATCTCGCGGGTTCGCGTTAAATCACGTTAACGTCAACGCGGCGCGTTTGGCTTTGAAGGTTTTAATTAATATGAGGCGAAACGCGCGACCCGCTCAGTTAATCCAAACGTAAAATATAATCCCTTTTTATTTCTTTTTTCTTTCGTTCCAACTTGAACGTTATTACGATACACATACAAGACGCGTTTCTTGAATAAGAACAGTGAAACAGTCCGCTCTGGCGACGGTATAAAAACGACGCGCTTGTACGGAGAAATGAAATAACGTAAATGAATAATGTTAGAATTATAATGAAATGTGTAGCGATTAATATGAAATATGTAGACGCCCGGAAAGTTTTATTCCCGAGCTGCGCGACATTATTTCCTCTAATTGCGTCAGCACAAATCTTGGAACTGATATACTCCGCTGGTTTATAGACGTAAATGAATTATGGGACACGGCATAAACATTAAAGGTTCACTAATTGCAAGCAATACGTCATTCGCCGTCTTCATTCATGCTTGTTATTTTAACTTTCACGACGGCAAACCTTTTCACTTTAGCATATATTTTTAATTAGTAGGCTAACCCGTTGGACTTGTTAAGCAATGACGTGAAAATTAAATGCTAGACTATGTTCTTGCAAAAAATGTTTTAAACTAAATTTATTACAATCAATTATAAGAACATTTATTTCTTAAATTCGAGCACTCTTGGAAACGAGACTTTCTAAATCAATATATAATAAATTAAAAACGAAAGAGAAAAAAAAAACAAATATAAAATTCTTCATCATCATCTTATAACACGCAAGCATTATCCTTTAGATTTCTTTGATGATAATATTTTAAGTTCCTTTCATAATCATTTACATTTTTATTGCCTATAAATTATTAAAAATAAATTTTATTTTAATAATATAAATATCAAAATACCAAGAAACTAGTATTTTATTTTTAAATTATTTGTAAACTCGTAAGTCCATCATGCAGCCATGTTTCACTTTGAATTTTACAAATTATGACATTATCATTATGATGATGCAACAAAAATGTTAATTAGCCATATGTACGGTTAATAATTAAAAGGCATTTCAAAATAATGTATTTATAGCACTTGCTCATTTAGACTCAGATAAACATGTCCTTGACATATTACTATTGCACAAAACGAAAAAAAAAAATAAAATAAAATAAAGAAACGTCGATTCGTTATCCAGTACACCGACAAGTTAAAGACGAGCACTATGGGACACGCGCATAAAGATTTTCGGTTACATCTCCGACAAGTTACTAATTGAGATTCAGCGACACGCATAATCGCCCCGAAATAACACGGATTCCAATCGACGGAGGAGGGCGCCATGAAAGGCGAAATACGGGCGGGACCATTCATCCCGACGGTTAAAATCACCGAATATTTCACTTTGCTGAGCCAGCTGAGCCTGCCACCGCCTGTCGCGGCACCCCGGCGATGGAAACGATGGAGGGATGAAGCGGACCTTCTCTCTACGACTCGCTCTCACACCCCTACGACACAGAGAGCGAGCGAGAGAGAGGGGCTCTAGAAACCTACGGTTTGCCACCCACATCCCTCTCGCTCTCTGTGTCTCTTCCTCTCCGCTCGCCCTCTTTCCTACGCTAGGCTGCAGATTTATGCGCCCCGCCTTGCAGCGCTGATATCCGAGAGCTCACGACCCGCTCCGTCCGTAATGAAAGAAATAAATTTACTCTTCTGGGGTGCCCCAGGGATTGGGACTCGCCGTTCGTGTGCGCCGCACACGGACGCGACTCTCCGCATTCTGACGACGTTAGCCGAGAGTGGGATCGCCAATTTAAGGATTTTTGTCACCAGATCCGGTGCCTTTGAGTCACCAGAGTTTTACTAACTCAAAGACGATGGTATATTTTACTTCACGACGTGTCTGTAATAACAAGCAAAAACGGACAAGAGAGCGGATGCGTTTGTGTATAAGCGAGACAAAGGAAAGAAAAAGAATTCCGACAAACAAAGGAAGTGACGTCTGGTAATAATTACACCGAAAAAGGATCGTGATTTATTGTAAGCATTGAATATTTCACTTGTCTCTCACATCTTTCATCTTATTTTGTAGACAGATTAGCCACGTCAAATTATAGACGTAATAGATTAATTTTGTTATTCACTCCAAGACAAACTTAATAATTGAGCAATCCATTATTTCGTAGGAAGGAAATGAACATATGTAAGTGTGTGTGTGTGTGTGTGTGTGTGTGTGTGTGTGTGTGTGTATCGGGATGAAAGACGTTAACTTCCTAAGATGCATAATTAAGATATACAATGATAAGTAGATTACTCATAATCAGTATGACTATTGACAGTGATTAACAACATGATGGAATGATTGATAACGATATCATTTCGTGCCTGAATAAAATGCTATGGAATTGTTTAGTTTAACGATAAGAGAAAAGATGAGTGATAAATGAAAGAGCGTAATAAGCAGTTTCTAAAGACTATCTAAACAAAGTTTTCGAGGTTGATAAACACAGCCTCGATTCGTCGGAAATGATTATCTTAATTGTTTATAATGTTTATATAATTTTGTTAATATAATTGTGCTACGGTGTACGATAAAGTATGTAAAGGGTATCTTAAATTTATCTACGAAGCTTTACACGAATAATGGATTTGGACATGTAAGAAACTACGCCTCGTTGCTAGTGACAGATTGTGAAGTGCGTTTGATAAATTGTCTGTCAAGCATGACTGACGAGCGGAGATCGTAACAGGTCAGCGAAATCAGGCAGACTGATTTTTACATCTCTCAGCAAAAAGAAGAAGAAAAGAAACACGATATGAGAGTACAATCAAGTTAAATGTCACAATAATATTTGCAGTTAAACACATATATATTTATTGCGTATATTTTGAGAACAAAACAGGCGGGGGCTAAAATTGAAAAATCCGAGAAAAAAAATTGCGTATTTTGATAATCCAAACGTGAATATCAGTTCTGTGAAAAATACCGTGTGAAGTTTACATAAGAAGAGAACGGTAATCGTAAAACGCCGAAAAACTCAAACGGCACGTAAAGCGCAAACGAGGAAGGAATTGGATTAAACGAGAGAATAATATGGTAAAACGCACAACATATATAGAATAGAAAGGTTTAAATAATTCTACAAACATTGTTTTTATTAAAGCGGTATGGAAACTCAACGATATTTACAAAAGGTATTTACAATGCGGATAAGACGCGTATCGTATACCATGTTATTCTTCGCTTTTATTAGAATATTCTATTCGACGTGTAACGATCTGATGTTGGACGATACGATCCGATACGTTACCAGGTATACCCTGATCAAAATCATCCCAGTGCGATTACCGAATTTCGAAAAGAAAATGATAAAACAGATTCTCTAGATCAATTTTATTTTCGTTTTCTGCAACGGCATTCAGTATTTGCCTTACACAACTAACGATAATAAATTACAACATTGTGATTTATTACGGAGATATATCTCAGATACGTTCGTTAATAATATCCTTTTCTTATTTGTTCGTTTTCTCAAAAGAGTAGCGTAATATCACAGTTATATTGTGGACATAAAATTACACGCGACCGTCCGTACACGAATAGAACGGTTTTGTTGAAGTACTTAAAAATTTAGCTAGATACAGATCTGAAAATAATTTTGTTGGACTACTCAAATAATTACTTAGGACGTTCAAGCATGATGAGCAATGTTGCAATTTTAACATTCTAACAACCGTCTTGAGCGTTCTAATTATGTTGACGGTTATAATTATTTTAATAATCCAACAAAAAATTACCTTCAGATCTATATCTATATCTAGTTAAATTTATAGATACTTGAACAAAACCATTCTTAACGTGTACGATGCCGCGCGCTATCGAACGCATTTAGCACAAGAGGCTCGCGTTTGCGGAGCGTCGGGAAACATACAGTAGCACTTTGCAATTTTCGCAAACATATATACGTCCGTACGTCGCCGAATAACGAGACGTTACGTTGTACGTTATCTGTAAAAACGTGACGATGACGTACAACGGAGCGTCTCGTTGGAATCGCCAAAAAAACTCTAACAGCACGCGATTCGGAAGCGCAGTCGGGAATGCCTCGTAGTTGTTAAATCCCGCATATAGAGAGGCGAGGCTTTTGTGTCTGTCCGGCAATTGCGACAATATCAACTTACAGCTGGCATGTAATCCTTCCCCCTACATGGTAACCGGATTTTTAATAGAGATGCGTATCATAGAAGTCTGGTATCATAGAAGTTCCGCGAGAGAATGGTCTCGCGATGCAACGTTAACACTTGTCGAGTTGTTTCATAAACTTTAATCATAATCTTCAATGTACACATATATTTATATTTATATATACATATATAGAATTCTTTTAAATAAATCTGTATTGTACACAGTGGCTATTTACACAACAGTTTTTAGACGGCAAGCTCGTCCATCAATTTGCACATTTTTCCAACTATACACTGCGAAAAGGAAAAAAGAGACGGAGAAACAGAGGGAGGAACGAGAAGAAGGTCCCTTCCGAAAAGATCCTACCATCTTTTCCCTCCCAATCCTCCCTCCCGCAGGATGTATCCATCTTAGGGATGTACAGCGGCGCCGATTCGCTGTCCGTAAACCGCGTACGGCGAGTAATACGGTCCTAAGGCGTTGAAAGCGGAGTACGGCGAGGCGGCGAGCGATGCCGGTAGCGGGCCCGTCGGCGGCTTGCCGTACGGATGATATCGCGCTCCGAGGGGGCTCAACGACGGCGCCGGATAGGTACCACCACTGGTGCGATGAAGGGTGGTCGACGGTGATAGCAACGGGTGCGGATGTGGATTACCGAGGAGCGCCGCCGCGGAAGCGGCGGCCGCGTGGTCGCCGCCGGTCAGGCTCGTGTGGCTACGTAGATGCTGGAGCAGCTCCTCCGACGTGGCGAATCGTTTGCCGCAGTACGACTCGCCGGCGATCCAGTTGCAGACGTAGGGCCGGCCACCGGCCGCCAGCGTGGACGGATAGGACAACGACGGCGGCGGCATCGGGCCCAGCGACGATAACGCCATCGCCAGTCCGTACTTCTGATGATCGCACTGCGTGCAACCGCTGGGACAGCTACCCGCGCTCATCATTATCTGCGCGCTGTGCATACTGTACTGGCAGCCGGTGCAAAAAGGATCCTTGCAGACCGGCACCAGGGCTTCGCCGCCGGCGGGAGTCTTGACGCGGGCGTAACTCAAGTACGGATTGCCGCCGGTCGGACCAGCCGACGGATAGCCGACGGACAACAGCGCCGCCGCGTGATGCGAGAAGGGCGATGCGCCCGCGAAGGGCGGCCTGAATGCCGGATTCTCGGCGAGGCCCGGCGGACAGCACAGTGGATTGCCTGTGAACCCTGGTAGACCTGGTTTGTAAGCGGCTAGATTCGTGTCCTTTGTGTGCGCCGCACCGGAAAGAATCTCCATTCCGGATCTAATAATTGGACTGGCGCCATTGTTGTTGTTATTGCTGCTGCTGCTATTGTTGTTGTTGCTGCTGCTACTGCTCCGTGGCGAACCATCGGTCTTTGGTGACGCGGACTTTCGGCTCACCGGCGTGCGATTGCCGGATGATTTCTTGTCAGGATGCATGCTGTCACTCACACTGACACTATCCTGACCACTGACACTGTGTACACTGGCTTTGGACGTGGGTCTACCCTCGTCCGTGGTCTTCTTCGTTACCACGTTGACTTCGTACGGCTTGAACGCCAACGACTTGCCGCCGTCCGTCGGACTGCCGCGAGTGTTGCGCTCCAATTTCGTGGCCGGCGGCGATTTCGCGTTCGTTGCGATGCTCATGCCCTTCGAGCTCTTTTCCAAAGGCGAAATCAGCGGTTTCGTAGGCGAATCCGCTCCGATTTGACTGCATGTCTGTGCCAACAGTGCCAGCGGACTCTTTTTCGCGTCCAACTGTACCTGTCCGACAAAAAAATCAAGTTATCCACCGTTTGTCATATTTATACAGAAAATGAAGCATGTACCGATTAAAGTTAGTGCGATAATTATTCTTCACTTCTGATCCCATCGGACCACAAATAGATGATTCTATTAACGGGGGAATAAATAAATAATGAGGAAAAAATACCGCGACTTTGAATTTTTATTTCTTCTTACATTAATCCCTATTTTCAACGTGGGAATCCTTTTCCCTTATTTAATTCTGCCTAATACTAAGAAAATAGAAAAGATGTCAAAAAACTTGAAGAGGGTATGATGCCAAAGAGTATTAATCGAGACCTTTCAACTGTTTCTTTACCTATTGTATCTTGATTTACGTACTATTCTATTTTCTTTGTACCGCACGTCAAGTTATAATAATAATAATAAATATTATTGTCGTGAGAATCTTTTTTCCTGACCGTACTTTTTCCACAAAAAAACCAACGGCATAGGAAGCTTCGAAAATTGAAAAAGAGAAAATATACTATTTTGTATATCAAAAAATACTAACCGAAGTTGGAAGCGGTGAAAGATAATCCGGTTGTAAATACTGATTGTGTCCAGTAGTCAGCATACTGCCTTCCTCGAGCACAACCATTTGGTTTCCCACTAATTAATCTCACTGCACACTTGAAATCAACAAATGGCTATTTACACAGACACGGTAGGTGCGTGGCGAAAAACAGCGAATCGCATCGGGTCTGACCGACGTGAAGGTGCAAACGAAAGCGATTCGCGGACACGGGAGACGTCGAGACTGCGCCTCCGTCGGGAATCGATCACCTCGCGCGGCGGCCACGTATCCTGGCGCAAGTGGGCGACGCGTACACCACGGAATCCAGGAAAATAATGACGGCTGCAACTCGAGCAGCTCCACTCTGTGCTTCGACTGCTCTGACGCGAATGCGATCCTCGCGCCGTCTGGCGGCGGCAACGAGAGACTCGCACGTCCCCCCACTCCCCTGCCCTCCTGACTACCCCTATCCCGTACGACCCGGGGTGTATAACCTGTCCTCTCCTGTCATCCCCACCATTCGCGCTCGGACGCACAGCGGAGGTAGGGGAGATGGCATTATGGTGGGAGAATTGCGGTGCTGCGTGGGGTGTGGGAAGGCATTCTAATTCAACACGCCACCCATGATGTTGGCCCGACGATGACAGCTCCCATCCCGGCTTTGATATTTCACCGCTTTTACAGCCGTCCATTCCCCTCCCCGCACGTCCGACCGACGAGGGCGTCCCCCCTCTCCTTCTTCCTCTTGCCTCTGCTTCTCCACTAGCCCCTTCTCCGTCACTCTGTCCCCTCCCCCCCTCTCTCTTTCTCTCTCTCCATGCCATGGTCGCTTCCCCTGCCACCCTCCCGTACTGGAGCTACCATAGCTGCCACGACACGGAACCGTCGTTCCTGCCACCACGGCAACCCGATATTTTATACCGTGAAACCTGTCTGTCTCTCCAGCCGGCCCCGCTTAATAAGCAGCTTTCAAAATAGAAATGTAATGGGCCGCCGGGGGTAGGGGAGAACGGGTCGGGTGATTGATTGCTCGCTCAGCGACTTACCGACTTGCTGCGGCCCCACGGGGTAACGAATGACAGCCACTTAAGCGCTGTTTGCCTACAGTTTTGTAAAAGCGTTTTAATTATCGCCCCGGCCCCGACCGCGGTGCGCACTGAGTCATCCGGTACTTAACGCCTCGTGGCTACCGATCTCTCGGTGTTTGCGTGCCATTCTTTATACCGTGGACCGCCGCGCCGATTCCCCTCAGATTCGTCGATATCGAATTATCATTGTCAATGTGGTGATGAATTGACTGATCTTTAACCGTAAAGTAGCGTTTTAAATATATATTTTTTTATACGAGACTTGTTACACAAATTTCTTCGTAAACTTTAGATTATCGAATCACTGGATCCTATAAATAGTATTCTGTATCTATTTTTAATACGTCTCTGATGAAAAAAATGTATATTTTCATGATATCTCATGATATTTTTAAAAACTCGTTGTATTTTATTTATTAAAGATTTCCGAAAAAATATCTTAAATTCTTTCAGATCTTATAAATTTATTCTGAAATTATAGAATGAGAAATAAAAAAAAAATTTTTAATATTTCCGAATTATATGAGGAATTCTGGAATAAATGTAAATAAATATAAACCTTTGCAGTACTTTTAAAAGTACTTTCCAATCCATATAAAATATCTGAAATGTGTAAAAAGTTACAAAATTATACAAAAATTCTGAAAAATTTTGAAATCTACAGATTTTGACAAATTTAACAGCTCTGAAAAATTATATGAAGAATTCTGAGAAAAATTTTCACCAGGGTGTATCTGTTCAACACATAATTTAAAGCGAAATCACGATAGCGTATTATTTATCGATATGAATGATCCTTTTTTTTATATTTTATATCATTTCGACAAGCTCCGTTGCAATATTGTCGCGACACTCGGATATATTTGCGTAAAATAAAACGTGCAAAATACACATTCGACGAAATTCAACAGTGCACTCACGCATGTAACGCATTTATGCGCTCGCCAGGCACGCATCATACCCGTCCGCTTGACGAGCGATACAGCCATTAAAGAGCTTGACTATCAGACCTCGTTGGAACTCAAACGCTCCGCGGTTAGGCGATTACGGCCATTCCGTTAAGTACAGCTTAAGCAAGATAAAGCGATCGATGAAGTAACTATGTTACAAGGTAATTACGACGAATTATGACGATATCCACACGCCCGCTACGTAGACCGCATACCCGCGGTAAACAATAATTACCCCGGGGAGCACTTCGCCCAGGAATGCAACCGAACAGTATCTGAGAAATGCATATAGGTATGTCGACCGTAATTTAACACTAGAAGTCATTATAACCATTCTCTCGGTATCATTAACCATTATAATGTAAGCTGTGAACAGAAATCTGCGATCACCTCGATATTTGAGGTTTTACTTTCGAAAAATAATTTTCCCTGCAATTGCATTGCACTGTTGGCTTTCATAGAACTGCCTTTAACTTTTACTTTTGGAATCGTAAAAATAAAACTCGCCTCCATCTTGAAATAGAGTCTTTGGTTTATTTTTTCATTGCATTGAAAAAGTCTAATAGCTAATGTCAAATATATTTTATTTAATAATTAAATATTTAGAAAAATTATTTTTCATTATATTAATCGAACATTTAATTGAAATTGTTTCATTCAACATTAAATATTATCAAACACTTTCTTCAATGTATGATGTATTTGAAAAATCGATAGCAATGACAAATATTATTAAATAAAAAATGTCAAAAAATTTTTTAATAAATATATTTCGAACAAAATATTGCGTTTTGCAAGTATTTTATTCTCTAGACGTAAACTAGCTGCGCTTTCTATGCATTTTCTGTTTTTTAATATTTTTTTAATTATATCAATTACTTCAGAAGATTTTTGTCTCATTCAATATCGATCTCTTCGTCTTATTTAGCTTCTTAAAAAAAGAAAAAACCTATAAAGTCGACAAAGCATAGCTTCTGCGTGAACTGTCTGCTGTAGCGGCGCCGCTAATATCCTGAAGACGATTCTTTGACGTTTTGACACTGACGGATGAGTTTACGGCTAATATAGTTCTCTTTTATCTCCGCAACCGAGTCCCCTCAAACCCCGCTACAAAGATTTAGAGTCGACGGCCGTCTTTCTCGATAACGGATTCAGTCTGATCAATGCCGTGTATTGCTATTATAAACAATGTTTGCCGAGTAAACTTCGACGTTAAGTACATCCGTAATGATTCGCAGTCGTGCTGAATATACGTTTCGCGTTGTGTTTCAGTGCTATTGTAAATTACGTTGACAGGATCTCTTTTTGCGATCGAATCTATTGTTATATGGCTACGCTTTATCAGTAACGGCAGTATATCACAGTTACGACTACTTGAAGCAAGGTTAATTGGCCTTACGCGAATAAAATATTTTTCTCTTCACAATATTTGGTACTCATAACTCAATGGTTAATGCAACGATGAATATTATTCGTAATATATGAAACAGATATATCATTCGAATTTTTGATAGCTAAACCATGTCGTTTTAGTTTTTTTAGTTTTGTGAGTGTGTATGTTTTGTAAGTGTATAATTTAAATATCAAACACTTAAAAAAAAAATTGTTGCAAATTTACATTTAATTAGTCGTGATTTATTTTCTGATATGTGCACATTTGTTCTTTATAAAACGTAAAAGATAAAAAGCTTCAAGGCTCTTCTTTTTCAAGGAGACTATCTCTTATAATTGTAAAAGAAAATATATTTCTATTTTTTGTTTCAAAACACACAATACAATGAAATCTTAGAAATATCTGACTCCAAGTTCAATATTTATTGACATCTGTTAGATTTGTGTTTAGAAAGTACATTTTCACTTTTATGAATTTCTTTTGTTGACAAGATAATAGCATTGTCAAATGAGAAAACAGAATTTTATTGAAAGATGAAGAATACAACAATACTATTGCAATAGCATTGTTAATAAAATAAGAACATAAATTTATTAAAAGATGAAGGACGTGGATAGGACAACGATAGACATAAAAAATAATGACATAAAGTGCATTATCTAATCGTAGATTAGATACAGTCAGTCCACTCAAAAATTGGATAGGCCTGCTCTATTATGTTTTCGAACAATACTTAAAGAAAAAATGTGATACAAAAAATAGCAGGTAATCAAAAACTTGTTAGTTTTACTATTTGTAAATCTATAATAAAGAAATTATTTTACCAAAATTATGTTGACAAATATTTCTCCATTAGTTTTTTGTCAATGAAGAAATGGAAGCCGGATTTATTTACGAGATCTTGAACAATAAAATAGAGAATTTGTGTATGAAAGAATTTTTTTGAACAATGTCAATGGATTTCTATGGTTTAACCCTTTTTAATCCTTTTGTAGACGGGAGCTTTGTCATAAAAAAAACATAGAAGTCATCAGGAGGCTGACTCAGTTTTGGCCTTTTAAAATGTAATAAATTTAAAAAATAACCTTATTACCGTGAAACTAAGCTTTAAAGGAAGTTCTTAATCACTGATAATGAGTTTGAATGTAATCTGGAAATGTCGAATTTTAAAAGAATAGTAATCTCCAATGCAGGAGGATCTAATGTCACAAAGTTCACAATCAGAGTTTGGAAGTCAGTTTGGAAATTAATACTAACTGTTTGCGTAGCACTGATGAGTTTCAAATAAAGTGAAATTGGAAACTATGTTTTATATATATATATATATATTAAAAAAATTTTGTTCACCATATTAGATCCGTTTTAAACTTATTTGTAATCTTAGATTCTAATACAGTATTATGAAATTATTATCATATAAACTATATAATTTTCATGAAAA